CAGGGTGGCCAATATGTAAATGACTGATTTAAATTGTGCGCCATTTTCGATACACGCATATCAGTAGGTGGCGCCGTAGTAGTTGTTTATAGTATATGTGTCCAATTCATCATGGAGATCTACACGATCCCACAACACGTCCGTATTGTTAAAACATTTTACTTAAATGATGAGTCGATTGTTGCCACGATTCGGGAGCTACGACAAGATTTCGGTCGAAATAATGTGCCCAGTGTCAACACCATTCGTCAGTTGGTGCAGAAATTTGAACAAACAGGTGAACTTAAAGACTTGCCAGGTCGGTCCGTGTTTGGTATGAAGGCGTCATTGGAACTTACTTCTTTGAAGACGCTGCAGGTAATTCTCTTACTGCCACTGGCGAGCGCTACCGAGATATAGTGCAAAACTTTATAGCTCCTCAAATCCAATAATTTAGCCTGCAGAACATGTGGTTCTAGCAGGACGGAGCAACTTGTGACACAGCTAGGGAAACAGTGAATCTCTTGCGAACAATATTTCCGGGACGTTTGCGATTTGGTGATGTCAACTGGCCACCAAGGTTACCGGACTTAACAGCTCCTGACTTTTTTATGGAGATTTTTCGAAAAATAGGGTTTATGCCAGCAAACTAGATACTGTGGGGTAGCTGAATAATAAAATCACGGAAGCGTTTGAAAATATTCCTCCCGAAACCTACCAGAAAGTGATGGAAGATGTAATCAAGAGGGCTCAGGTTTGCGCGACTTCTAGAGGCGGACATGATATTATCTTTCATACATAATTTCTAAGTTTCAATAAAAGATTAAGATGAAAAAATGGACATATTTTATTTCATTCAAGATACAAACCAGTCAGTTACATATCCCCTACCCTGTATTAAACATACTTGAACAGCTTGAATAGGCACATACATTGAGACAATTAGTAACCAAACTTGTTATCCGATAGCTAAATAAGCAGTCTCGTACAACTGAACGCCGACTATTCGAGAAAATTGGTTAAATATATCTATGAATTTTTCTGCGACGGCAAACGCTGAAAGGGGCATCGGAATCTCGATAACACCTTCAGGTGTAATCAGATTCAAATTCATTTGACCCAGTTTGAGGTAATATTGACAACATTTTTAGTGGAGAGACATGTTAAAAAAATTCACGATTTATAGTAATCAAATGACAAAATTACTCGTAGTTCATAATAGGATGGTGTTATTATATTTGGGAGAATTCGGAGTAGGATTGGATGCTCATACAATTTGTGGGAAGTTTTATCATGTTCTAGCAGTTTGCCAGCAACAGTGGCCGCTCGTCTGCTGGTGCGCCTTCGACATCGGTCGTCTCTCTCTAAATGGGCCGGAACAGGAGTCATGTTTAATGCCATTTTTTATGGTTCTTCAAGACTTTTTCGTCTTCCAACATTTTTTCTGTATAGACCTGAATATGGTTGCTTTGATCATGAATACAAAAATATAGTCATGCAGCACTGATATGTTCCGAACAAATATTGAAATAAGATTGGCAAAATCTAAGACAAAAGTTGTTGAAAACTCTCGGAGCTATCACCGAAAGCTGTACTATTGCATCATACTAGTACATACAAGTCGATAACCTCATCAGAAAATAGATATTGTTGAGGTTATAATGATTTGATAAAACGTGACCTACCACCTTAGTGATATGCTAATGTTGTAGGGTTTGAGGGAAAAAAACTTTGTCGTCTTAACAAAAAACGGAGTGCGCCTGAGGAAAAAATAGTAAAAAAGGGTTTCTATATAAAAATGCTCAAGCCAACTAGACATAATATTGACTTTGAAAAATATCGTAGGTTTATATGTTTTGTAAGAAATATCACATACTTGTAGGGAATCCACTGGTGGCGCAATACAATAACTCTCTACACTGAAATTTGTTATTCAATATCATCTTATAACCTGCCAAAGGCTCTAATAATATCTAAAGCACATCCGAAGAATGAAATAAAATCATTTTTCCTTAAACATAGCTAAGAATTCAATCTAATGTTGGTATGCACTTTTCTTCTTATATTTCTTATACTTATATTATTTTGAGACAATTATACTCGTATCTTGATATATCAGCACATCTATAACTGTAATATGTAGTATTTGTTAAACTTGAACTATTATAAATTATAAATTTTTCTTATTTGCTTTGGATCATATATAACTAAGTCCAACACTGCTCGTATGGCACCTATAGTGCCCGCAAGCAACAGGATGCAGAAATGCCATGTTCCGTCGGCGTCCTTTATGGAGATTTGGGCGCATTTTCGATGGTGATTTATAACTTCTTTCATTCCGACTACGGTTGATAAAATCCACTCTGTTGTTAAGCAGCCGGGAGATAATATATGCTTTCTTGTTTGCCAAATACATTTCGGATATTGTCGTCGTAAACAAAATCACCCAAAATATCACAGCATAATTTATAATGTCGCCTGGGAATTGCTATGAGATTGGTTTCCTTTGTGGAAGTTTAAGACTTATGCACAAAGGAGTATATACGGGTGCACTTCTTATCTCCCTTAAGAGGTTCTTCTTAAATATACGATAGTTTATATTATAATATAATACTGTTACTTATTACGGTTAGAACTTTACGCAGAACCCTCACATGTTTACTAAATAGCGAAAAGCTGGTAATTTTGTAACTCTCCATGCGTATCTTAAAAAAACTATGGTGTACTGAAATTTTTGTTTTATACTATCGAATAAGATGAAATGCGGATGTTGTGCAAAAAGGATTACAACTCCAAATATTGGCAGTGACTGCCTTAATCCCAGAGACTACATTCAACTGATATATTCTAATACTGCCTATTGAAAAAAAGAATAATATAATATTCGGTGCAGCAATTACTCGGTCAAGGTTCAACATAAAATGAAATCGTACAAGAAGCTTCGTGGAAAAAGGGGCTTTTCCTTCTTATACCGCAATTTCCACAGTATCGAGGTTAGACAATTTCAAACCGACAATTCACTTTTGATACTACATCTATAACATCTGCTTTTAAAAAAATTAAAAAATTACTCGCGAAAGATGCGACTTATAACTTCATGAAAACATAATTTGGAAAAATTTAGCAGCGAATTTTACCTTAACTTGTTTAGTAACGTGAGATATGCACAAATAAGATTCTTTTCCTCTCTAGCATTTCTTTAACACATTGAACGCCTGCATAAGAAACTCAAGGATATAAATATTTTATTTATTTCGAGGCATTCTTCATGACGTCACGACCGACAGTACTAAATATTAAGTTAAATGTAGGTATATATATAGTGCCAGTCCTTGGAAGCAAACATTTCATAAACATAGCTTTGACTGTCCGCAGCATTCAATCAATAAACCGTCAAATCCGACAGTGAAGTGAAAACAGCGGTCATACTGACAAAGCTGTTTAGCATAAAAGCGCTGCGCCACTGGGCCGGTTAACTTTGGCAGGACGTGTGTTTATCAAAAATTTTTGTTGCAATAATGGAGATATCTAACATTCAAAACTATGTTCTGGGATATGGATATTATTGATAATTAACTTTGTCATAGATTTACATTCAGGGATTTCACGGCACATCCACCATATTTTAAAATATAAAATCCATCGTGTCCAGAAATTTTATTTAATTGAACAAATGAATAAACATAACATACAAAAATTCTACAAAAAGGGTTAGCTATGTTATATTCTTAGCTTTGTATAAATTCAGACAACTGTGTTGCGAAATTGAATGTACTGAGGTTTGTGTACCCAACGGAAAATTAATCGCCAGAAATCTTAACCCGGACTGCAATACCTTAAATCTTAATAGGTGTATATCAAGATTTTGTCGGCGTTATCCTCCAAATAAACGGTTTTTCTATTATTTGTACTTTGATCACCGGTTTGCTATCTTGGACATTGTCTCTGTACCTGTGCTCCAAAGCGTACCTATTCGTATTTTTTCGGATTCATTAGATTGTGATTGTTGTCCGTAGTAGCGGTTGGAGGTTGATAATAGTCCGCACTATTACTTCTCAACCCCGAAATTGACTGCGGTAGCAGTCCAAAAGTTTACATTCACCTGCCATGCGAGTTAGTAAGCCAGTATTGTAATTGCGAAAAATATATGCGATATGACATGTACATCATGGAACGCCTTGTCACTCATTTCCGTCGGTCTGGCTGTCTGTCGGTCCATCTGGCTCCTACTTGTTGTCTATAGCGTGAAAATCACTGATCGGATTTTGATGAAGCTTTCTAGTTTTTGAAAATCGATCCAGTGGCTGCGTAGCTACGGACAAATAATGGAAAAGGTAAAATTGTAACAAGCTTCACCTTCCGACTTTTCAGAATCTTTTTATAATTCAAATAACCTTTGTTGGGGTTAACGTTCTGGGACTGGGCATTGTAGGGGGTGGAGGTATATCTCAATTTTTGGGGTTAGTATATTTATACGCTCACGACCCCGGTAGTTCTATGCACCTATTATTTCACACATCATAGATTTCGTTGTGCATTTGCCGCTAAAACTTAGAATGATGTCTGAACGATGAGTTGCTTCGGCTGGCGAGTAGCGAGGTTAATGGTACCCATTCACGTACAGGCGGACTGCAGTCCCGAACTGTGAACGATCTGGCCGTCAGTCCAAATTTCAGCATACACGTACAGGTGGCCGGCAGGTCTGTGCCTGCAGTTTACAAAGATTGCACAAAGTGTGTACGTGTGTGGTGGTTAATCGTCAGTCCGGGTCGTACGATAGCGACTTTCATTGTATTTAATGGTACCCATTCACGTACAGGCGGACTGCAGTCCCGAACTGTGAACGATCTGGCCGTCAGTCCAAATTTCAGCATACACGTACAGGTGGCCGGCAGGTCTGTGCCTGCAGTTTACAAAGATTGCACAAAGTGTGTACGTGTGTGGTGGTTAATCGTCAGTCCGGGTCGTACGATAGCGACTTTCATTGTATTTAAAAATTGTGTACACAGTTTTGGTAAAAAATGTCTGATGTGACGTTAAATCAGCCATCGTTTGTTACTGGTTTTATTGATATTTATCGACAGTTACCAAGTTTATGGAATATTAAGTCAAAACAGTATTCAAATCGAAAAGAAAAGGCAAAGGCGTATGAGAAACTTATAAGTTATTGCAAAACCGTAGACAAAAATGCTTCGATGGATATGGTAAAAAAGAAAATTAATAATATTAGAAGTGCCTTTCGAAAGGAGCACAAAAAAGTTCTAAAATCAAAAAGAAGTGGATCATCTACAGAAGAGCTGTATGAGCCAACTCTTTGGTATTATAAATTACTGCTTTTTACGGCTTCGCAGGAAGAACCTAGGATGTCAGTTTCAAATGATGATGAGTCGGAGTCGGAGGGTGACGATGCCAATAATGAGGTAAGGAAATTTTTTGCAAATAAAAAAATCAAATAAAATCTTTTTATTTCTTGTCTAAAATAAATTCTTTAATTCTACAAAATTATCAAGTAAGATACATATTATAATAGGTACATTGATTAAATAAAATTTTCTTGCCAGGAAACTTTTCCAACAGTATTAAAGAAATTTTTATAATTCACTCTATTTTCTTTGGCTTCACGTGAAGCATTACGACCATATCCTGGTTGTAAATTATCTAATGGTCTTTCTGCTCTCCAGTCTCCCCTTATTATATCCCCTGTGTCAATAATTTCGGTGTCAACATCATTTCTCGTTATATATGAAGTTTTAGAACGTCTCAAAAAATTATGCAACGCGCAAGCTGCTAGTACAATTTTGTCAATTTTGTCAGGTTGCATATTAATTGGAGTATGGAATACTCGAAAGCGATTAGCTAATATACCGAACGCGTTCTCAACCGTGCGGCGCACACGGCTAAGTCTATAATTGAAAATAGATTCTTCTTTTGTTAAATTGTTTCCCGGGAAAGGTTTTAAAATATTTTCATGTAATGCAAACGCATCATCTGCCACAAAAACGAAATTTAAATTATGCTTTGTTACGTCATTAGAAGGCAAATTTAGCTTTTTTTCTATAAGTTTATCGTAAAATTTTGTATATTCTAAGACCCCTCCATCAGAAACTCGCCCATTACAGCCTACATTAACATATATGAATTCGTAATCAGCATTAACAAGGGCCATGAGAACTATACTGTGATAGTCTTTGTAGTTAAAAAAATATGACCCGCTGTTGGCTGGTTTAACAATTCGCAGATGTTTACCATCAATAGATCCTCCACAATTAGGAAAGTTCCATCTGGTTTCAATATTATAAGCTATTTCTTGCCACTCCTCTGATGTTTTTGGAAACTGTAAAAAAAATTATAATATACATTTTGTATTTTGTACTTTCAGGAAGATGTCACCCAGCATGATACTCAATTTTCACCGCTTACTGAAGATGCGTTGCAAGCACCGTCTGAAATATATCAGCTATCACCACCACAAACACCGCATCAGTCATCAACCTATTCACGTCCATCAACTTCCAGATCTTCTAATAGTGCAAAAAGAAAGAAGTATGGACAGGAAGAAAGTATCCAAAGGATTTGCGCTAAGTTGGACAGAGAAAATGATGAATGTGACAGTATTGGAGAAAATGTGGCCCATAAACTGCGCCGAATGGACAGCGACCAGAAAATGTATGCTGAATTATTACTTCACCGTCTTCTCTTCCTTGGTGTTCAAAAGAAATTATGCGAGGAATCTCATATATGTATAAATTCGGCACATAGCGTTTCATCTCATTATAATACTATGTTGCCAATGCAACTTCAATACAATCAACAGCCACAACCTTTAACTCCTTCTCCTTTCCAACCCATATTAACAAATCAGCAACAACAAACTTTCACTTCTTCGCAACACACATCAACTTACAATCAGCAACAAAATGTCACTCTTTCCCGACCCTCAGCAACTATTTCTGAAACACAGTACACAAATGCAGAAGGAGAAAACCTCGACATAAATATAAACTATATAAGACCTCTTGATAAAACTACCCCTGAAACAATGGAGGAAAGCGGCAACACGTCGAAACTTAAAGGATCTTTAACTGAATTGCTGGTTTTTAATCGATGAATTTACGAAACTTCAATGACTACATACTTAAAGTTTTGTTTTTACTTGTCGACTTGTTCATTATTACCTATTGTCTATGTTTTTGACAATAGAAATCAAAAGTTTATTTAAAATTCGTTTCTATAACACAAGTTGTTCACCTTTAAGTTTTTATGTAAGGATACATTTTTCAATAAAATACGTAGTTGAAATATTATTTTGAAATTTTACTAAAACATAAAAAATTACTTCAAATTACGACAAAAGCGAAAATTTTGGAATGCAAGCATAAAATACATAATTTTTAATAAGAATATTAGCGAGGTATTTAGGTTAAAAAATAAATACCTAGGTACTTTTATAAATGTACGCTTCTAAAAATTTTGGCTTTCAATCTCCTTCAACTATTCCATTTCTTTCTAAAATATTATGCACTGTATTCCAAAATTTTATGAACTTACCTTCATATATTCCTTTTTCAACGCCTTGTAAATCCATTCGCAGGTTTCTGGTATAATTTTTCCTAGTGCTTGGGGAGAAATAATGGCAGAAAATTTCAAATCCTCAAATGTACGTCCAGTTGCCAGATACCGCAAAGTCACTATTAACCTTTCTTCAGCACTAATGGCTTTTCTCATTACTGTATTCTGTCGTTTTATGTGGGGTTTAACTAAAGTTAATAATTTTCTGAAAGAAGCCTCGTCCATCCTAAGATAATTTTTAAAATCTTCGCTGCTGGAATCTTTCAATCGCTTCAGGAGTTTCATATGAGATAAATTTTCACGATCTCTTAACCATTCCTTCACCCAAAAACGTTTGCCATTTTTTCCGCGTTCATTAGTTAATAGCAAAATCAAAAGTAACAAAATAAGTTTCTTTTTTCTTAACATTTTACCACTGCTTTATTGTTCTTTTGTCTACACACTACAAGCAAGAACTGCGAAACTTTTGCGACGGACTGTGGATGTATGGCAAATAATGAGGCGACCTGCAGTTCTAGGACTGTCAGGCGATGGCCTGCAGGCCGCATCGTTTGTATACAACTGAACGTGTATGGTCTATATCGCAGGCCACGACTGCAGGTCAAATTTCAGTCCATTGCCTGCAGTCCGCCTGTACGTGAATGGGTACCATAAGCATAGTAACGTTACCAAATGGTGGTACCATTGGTAGGGCAGACATTCCTAGACAGCAACGTTGTAAAATGGGCGGGGACTAATTGAATATGCGGTATGACTGACTTGATCCATTTATTTTCTGCACTGCGTGAGACGTACAGTATGAACCTACAAGGGACACAAACCTGCCTAGCCATGAAAAAACAATTGAAACACACAAGCATATGTCAAATAGTGGCATGTGTCCTAACCTTACTTGCAAAATTTGAGTTAATTTTGATAACTAGTTTCCAATTTATTAAGTAGTTTATGAGGAAAAATGAATAACTTGAAGTTATACTACAGTAGAGTTACAAAATTTCTGACAACGGAGCGCCACCAGCAGAAAACAAGTCTTGAGAGAATGGTTGCCTTCCATGGGGATGATACACCATCATATTACACAATAAAAATAGGTCAAAACAGTTTCGACGGGGGCCTGAATCTAGAGAAGACGATCTCAGTGCAAAGATTAGAACAGCAGCAAGTGATGGAATTACTCAAAGAGCAGCCATTTTCGAAGATTGTTATGTGAAGGGTGTCTACCGTTACTTTGATATTGAATATATCGGAACCCAGCGTCATAACCATCTTGCATGACAATTTGAATATGAGTAAGGTGTCAGCCAGGTGGAATCCACGGTTGTCGACACTCAACTTTAGAAAGTGATCTGGAAACTTTGGTCAACCATTCTGACTTTTGGCACAAATTGAGGCAGGCGACGAGACCAGAGCCGTTTTCTAGTACCTCATTTGTGTTATCAGAGTAACTCGGAACCACCTGTCAATACCGTTTCATTACTCTAGAGTGGCATATACCTGATCCACCCATTTTCGAAATCATCTGCCCTCTACTACTAGCACTAGCTTTTTATTCGGTATTTATGCTCCGAAATTGTGATGCAATGAAAATTACAAACAATATTTCAAGATTGTCAGTTTATGTTTTTTACCTCTCATTAAAACATTGAATCGGTATCAGACAATGGAGGGTAAAAAACCGGTAAAGTATGACCCAGAGCCAGAACATACATTTGAATTAATTAAGATTACGAAAGAGTGCAAGAAAGCAAGTTCATAGCTGCCTATAGTTGGCTTCATCTATAACTAAGCGCTTTGGAAATAATTTTGAATCTCTACAATAAAATCTGAATCCAATCATCTACAAAGAAGCTTTACAATAAAAATTCAGACCTCTGAAGAATTATGCCATCATTCTAAAACCATCATCAGGCATTAATTGGATACTGACAATGCTTCTGAAAATAAATGCAAAATTGTGTTCCACATTTTTATTGTTAGAGCTTTGTATTATTAACTAATGCAAATCTACAATCCACAAGAAGAATAACAATTCTCAATCCTTTCAGATATGCATTTTGTGTCAGCATGGCTTCACAGTTCTAGAGAAAACATTTATTCCAACCAAGTTATCAAACCGTCGAGAATTCAATAGTTTTAATGGAAGCAACCTCTGATAATCCAGTGCCAACAAAAGTGGAAGACTTTGATACGCACATACACAGCTACTAAAGATAATGAGAATAAAATAGGAAGGGGGTCTACTAGATTTAAATTTTTTGAGGAGATAGATGCCTTCTTAGGCAACAAGCTCTCAAAGGAAGGTCATCACACACTAGAGTCCAGTGAAGAGGGGTCAAGTGGTACAGCAGAGATAGAAACCACTGTTGATACCAATTTGCATAATGACAGTATAAGTGGAAATATGGAAAATACACAGCAAAAAGAAAATAAAAACATGTCAAAAAAGGTAAATAAAAGGAATGAGTTCAATGAAAGAAGACAAAGAGAAAAATAAAAAAAGAGAAGGTACCGAGAAAATATGGATCTGGAAAGGGGAAGAGTAGCAGTTGAGAAGGAAAAAAATGCTGTTTTCAAAGAGTACTTACGAAAAAATGAGGCTTCTGATTGTTTTTGAGTGGTGCTTTTTGAGTTCCCAGGAAGACTTATTTGTTTTGTTTGTTCCTTGTTTTGTTTTGTTCCTAGAGGACTTCTTTAAGTTAACATTTTACACATTATTGCTAAGGATTAGGATTTCTCTTATTCATGAGTGGTGTTTTGTATTTTCTTGCTGGACACGAAATTGTTTGTTTTGTTTGTTCAAAAAGCACTTTTTTTGTTAACATGTGGTTGGTTTGAAATATGTTCATAAAACACATTATCAAAATTTACAAGTTGGTAAAAGGTAAGTCAATAAATAAAATATATCAAATGAACGAAACAAAGCCAATCGTGACAATGAAACGTTCAACCCTTCAAACATTTGTTGCCGCCAATTTGCAACTGTGTGAATAATTGGTTCACTAATAAAAAGTCCCATGTCATCAGAAATCAATATCATCATTCTCTTCTTGGGAAATGAGATCATTTTCGAAAACACAAATGTTGTGTAGTATGTTGGCAGCCATAACTCATTTAACAATTATGTTTATCTTTGAGATTTTCAAAATGTTCCAACCTTCTGAATCGCATTTTTAATAAACCAAATGTGTGCTCAACAACAATTCTTGTAGATGAAAGTTTAAAGTTAAATTGTTTTCGCTAATTTAACAACATTCCATTATCTTTGGAATGGGGTATCAGCCAATCTAAAATGGGATAAGCTGAATCGCCCAGCAAATAGTAGTTGTTAAAGAGTTGATCATTTTCAGTTGTTTCTTTATATAATGATGATTTTTTCAACTCTCAGGCATCATGGAGAGAGCCGGGTTAACCACAATATACATCAATAAATAATTTTAGGTGTTCTACCGCTGCCCAGAGCTAAAGGCTATGATGCCCCTTCCTATTCACATAAACTTCTTCATCATTTTCAGGTATTTTGATTTCTATGTGGGTTCTATCTACACAACCTATAACTTTCTTAAACCATTGTTTTTTTCACTCCATAAACATAGAATAAAACTATTTGCTCTTATTAAAATTCTATGGCTTGAGCTTAAGGAAACATCAAATCTATTATTGATTGTATTCCGGTACCTCTGCGTCTGTGCAGGAATGCAGCTTCATTGAGATACACCATCTTCCTATAGTCCGGACTTGGCTCCGTCTGACTTTTACCTCTTTAGATTATTAAAGAAAAAATTTTTATAGGTATAGGGTATAGGTTCACTGGAGAGATGACGCTAGTGCATTGCTTTGGGGGACTATATTGAAAAACAAATTATCAAAAAAACCGTATGTCTTTTGTTTCATGGCTAGGTAGATTCCTTTTCTAGTAAATCATGACATTTCTTTTGTTAAGTAAATTATGAATGTGTTGGTGGTTTTTTGAACAGTAAATATCAAAAATTAAGAACGGTTTTACAACCAAGTTCAAACTTTTGCAACCAGGTGACGCAGTATCGAGCCCCTATCACACTTGGTGGCCGTCCAGGTGAATCAGCCACGGACGCACAGGAAGACGAAGGTAAATCACAGTCACTGGAATTGCCGGTTCGTGCCGGCATAACGCCGGGCGTCAAGGCGGCGGGCGGTATGGGCAGTCGTACCGGTGTGCGCTGATCGGCAAATATTTACTCAAAGGTAAATATGGAGGCCATTGTTAGCAGGCAGGATTAGAGGCACTTGTGACAACGGGATTTATGCGCTGCTGGCAGCAGCCGGGCAGTACCACCGTTAAAGCCGATCACAAAAGAGACGACACAGCCTACCAGCCAGTCAATTAGTTTCCATTTTGCTACCTATGCCACCAATTACCTGGCTGGCATACCGGAAAAATTGCATTTACACTTCAATTTTGCCAAAATAGCAATTATGTGTACTTTGTGGTAGGTTCTTGAATTTTACCGTATTTGAGTAGTGGTAACATTGTACTTTAAGGCATTTTTGTATTTTAGACACATACATGGTGACTTTTTAGTGTATGCTCGGTCCATAATTCCATTATGACGCAACTATCTAAAAATGTTAAATACAAAAAATATAGCCAACAAAACATACATTTGATACCATATATGAAGCTATTTTTCCATCAGTGGCTATATTGTAGTACTTACATAAAGATAACAGCAATTACTTTAAGCATTGCCATAATACAAGGCAACGGTATGCACAATTAAAGCTCCGCAAAATTTACAAATCAATTGACCTGAGGAGTCATAGGTTATTATGTCCACACCATTTAATGCCTTGTCGGAGAATATTAGGAAGACTGGTGAAAAATTATGTTCAAGAAGGAGCTCAAGCTATGGATCTCGAATACTCCTAGGCAAAATATACATATGTAAAATCTGTGATGATTGTAAAGGATTTATAAATTTATTGAAATTGTTGCTTTGATGTCCGTATATTTACTTTCTTTTTTATCCATTTTCTCTATCTCTTCTCATCGATACAGAATCCTAACAATATTACATGTAACCCATGAAAATGCCATTTTTTATCATAAACCTTCACGAGTATATTAACTGATTGTGGACGATTTCACCGAAATTATATACCTACCTGTTTTCTCATACATTTTCAAACTTCCGGTTGTTGATTATCTTACACATCTTGTAACAATATTGTGAATGGATTATTATAATTGTTTTTAGGTGTGTGAACTATTTCATAGTGGAATACCTGAGTGACTGATATCTTACTAAAATTGGTGACTGACCTCAAAGTGAAAGAAATACGCCTTGTCCACATCTATATTTAATTCATAGCAGATTAAGTCTAAATATGCAAGAAAAAATAGTGCTTTCCATTAAAAAGACGGCGCATCCGGTAGCCATGAATCACACTGTAGATATAATAATATTTTACTGTTGGCCAGAATTTTTGTATTTAAGTTTTTTAGATACCATTCATAACAGAGTTATCGACTGAGCCCACACTAAAAACTCACCCTCAATAAGCTTTTTTGCGACTTGATCATCAGATGCATACAGGGTGATTCACAAGTAGTGACCAAAAATGAAACAACATTCACAGGACCGCATTTTCACAGGGGTCTTCTACTTATGTAACATTTTTTCCTCGAGGGCTTCATTAGAAAGATACGAGATGTTGAATTTTAAAAATAAAAAAGTTTTTTTTAATATCTTCAAAACCGTCAACTGGAATTAACTTAAATTTGATATGTGGATTTACCTAGGAATTGTCCACACTCAAAAGTCCTTACATAAAATTAACGCGCACCAGTGGCGGAGATAAACGCGCAATTTTTCGAATTTTACGTTCAATTTGCTACAAATAATTATTCTTGTGTTCTTTCCTGGGGTGCATTGTTTTCATAAAAATAAAAAAAGCGAATTAGATAATCACAAAGATTTATTCCAATAAATGTTCAAAAATACCACCATTCTGACGGATACAAGTGCGGCGCCTTTTTAATGAAGAAAAACGTATTTCCGCAAAATTTGTTGTAGCTTGAATTTGATGAAACGCATTATCTATTCTTTCTTGTAACTGATCAGCAGGATTAATTTGTTCAGCATTCACTAGTTGTTTATGGTAAAAGCGCTTCACAAAAAGAAATTCAGGGGCATCAAATCAGGAGACCTCGCAGACCAATGTACGGGTCCATTCCTGCAAATCCATCGTTGTCTAAAAGGATTATATAGCCATGTAGTTACACCACGATGCACATGCGGTGGGGCACCGTCGTCCTGATACCACAATCGTACTCTCGTTGCTAACGGAACATCATCTAACAAGTTTTCCATGTAATTCTCTAGAAAAGCTAAGTGCAAGTTTGCATTTAAACGTTGTGGCAATACGTGAATAAGCAGTTGGCCATTGAAAATGCCGCACCAGTCATTTCTATAAAATCTTTGTTGAAACGTGTGGATTCTTACAGAACGGGGACCTTCTAATGACCAAATATGCTCATTGTGAGAATTAGGGGTTCCACTTCTCGTAAAAAGCGATTCATCTGACCACAAAATCAAATCGATAAAATCTGCATTATACTGTAATGATGCATTTTCAGTAACCACTCACAAAAATTTCGCCTATGCACTTCGTCGCCAGTTTGCAAACATTGCACATTTTGCCGATGGTAAGGATGTAAAACTTAAAATTTTCCACACAAGACTTTGGGAACCTGGTAACTGGGCTGCAATCCGTCTAGTTCTTGCACTATGATCATGCAAGCCGAATGAATCATTTCCAATTCCTCTTAAACAGTATGCCGGACACCATGGCCTCTAACTAAAGCTCGGCAGTTCCATAATGCCGAAGTCTTAGAAATGCATGCGCAAAAACGTGGCGTCTGTTAGGAAACCTACATTGATGCTCCCGAGAAGCCGCTAAAGCATTTCCATTACAGAACCCGTACACAAAATTAATATCCGCGTATTCATAGCTGCTAAATTCCATTTCACAACACTCAAAAATGGAAAAAAGAAACTTTTGACTTGACTTTTACAAGAAAAAAAAATGGTAGCAGTAACAATAATAACCGTATAACATATAACTTTGACAAAATATCTCTATAGAAACGTTAAGTTGGTAGCAATGCCTCCTACTTTATTTTGAAACTAATTGTATCTCGGCTGTTCATGAATGATCCAATTTGTTTTATTTTTATTTTTACGAAAACAGTGCACTCTAGGAAAACAACATGAGAGTAATTATTTGTGGCAAACTGAAGGTAAAATTCGGAAAATTTCGCGTTTCGAAAAAAAAAAACAGTGGCGTATTATTTTCATTTGGAAAAATAATGCCACTAATCCCTAGTTTCTCCGCCACCGGTGCATGTTAATTTCAAGTAAAGACTTCTGAATGTGGACAATACTTAGTTAAATCCACATACCAAATTGAAGTTAATTCCAGTTGAAGATACTAAAAAAATTGTTCTTTATTTTCACAATTTAACACCTCGTATCTTTTTAATGAAGCCTTCGAGGAAAAAATGTTAGATAGGAGACCCCCCTTAAAATGCGGTCCCGTGTATGATGTTTCATTTTTGGCCACGATTTGTGAATCACCCTGTATATATCGATCTCAATGCCTATCTATTTTTCTGTTAACACCATCTAAGGTATAACTGCATCGAACTTGATGGCCCTCATATTGGTCTGAGTGAGTCGTGAGTAGGCAAAATGGCATAATGGCAAGGTTCCATCCAATAGTATCCAGCAAGATACCATGAAAGTCAGCTACTCCTGATGTGGAAACTATGACTTGAAGCCAGACTGAATATAGTCAAATTGGTCTCTCCGTCCAGTTTTTCAATAAAGAGCTTTGTTTACTATACCGCCCAAATACATGCAGCACACGACCAATGTGATAAGATCCTAGTGTGACACGGAATGACTGACAAGGGTCTTTCATTGCATCTATTTGGGTACCTTGAATAAAAATTGTAGCGTTTGAGAACAAATGAAAATGATGATAAAAATATTTTCTGGGCATATTTGTATTTATAGGCTTTAAAAGGTGTACCTAGTAACAATGAATGGGCGTTCAATGGGATAAGGAACTCCGGACTATATGGACAATACAAAATGTTTCCCAAAGTACCAACTATTTAGTAATATTAATTGGTAAAATGTATTCTGGAAATAGTGTAGTCCTGTTGAAATACACCTAAATAAATATTTGCGTACTGTTATCGAGGCCCTCGGTTACACAGTACGAGAATATTAGCCACCCACGTCACTGCCGTACACAGTTTTTTCTGGAGGAGGAGTGCATGCTTGATTAATGTATCGAATTTGTCTTTTTAGCTTGTTTCATCATAAACTTTGTATAATATACAGGGTGGCGCATCGAAAACGAAACAGACGGATTTACTGGCAACTCAGTTTTTTTTAAACGCGCTCAGACCCGTCGATTTTGTTTCCGAGGGGGACACAAGTTTGGCAAAAAATTACGTTAGCACATGCAGCCCCCTAAGCGGGTGTGACACCACCCCCAAAATCTTAAATGGAAAGGGGGGGTCGAGTGATACCTCATTTCAAAGGTCTTTCAATTCCCTTTATAATGATATAAAATTAATGTACTTTAGTTCAGTAGTTTTGAAGATTTATTGATTTAAAGCTTAAATAAAACTAATACATCATCATTAGAGGAGATCTATACATTTGGCAGCAAAGTAATTTAACAATGAAGAATGAACTGACCCGTTAGGCAAGTAAATGTTGATAATGGCCACCATGACTCTCCATGCAATAATAAAGATTTTGCTCAAGACGTTGCCGCACATTTTGCAATATTTGAGGAGTAATTTGGAGGCACTCATTCACAAGTCTTCGTCGCAGGTCTTCTAATGATGTTGGCTAAGTAGCATAGATTTTGCTTTTTAAATGACCCCACATAAAGAAATCCAAAGGTGATAAATCTGGCGATCTTGGGGGCCATTCAATGGCACCTCTTCTGCCAATCCATCGATCTGGAAACGTCTGATCTAAATATTGTCGAACACGTAATGCGTAATGTGGTGGGGCACCATCCTGTTGGAATATCAACCTATTCGCAATGTACCGCCGATCTTTCTGATTTTCAATTATGGCTTTTAATGCAGGATCTATAGCGTCTTCCAGTAATTCCAAATACATTTCACCAGTCAA